CTACCACACCCGGCTAATTTTTTTTTTTTATTTATTGTAGAGATGAGGTCTCACCAAGTTGCCCAGGCGGGTCTCGAACCCGCGGGCTCAGGCAATCCACTTATCTCAGCCTCCCAAAGGCACGGGATTACAGGCTGAGCCACGGAGCCCAGCTCAGCATTTGTTTTTGTTAGTTTTTCTTTTCTGGTTTTTTTTTTGAGTCAGCATCTCACTCTGTCGCCCAGACTGGAGTGCAGTGGCATGCTCCTGACTACCCCAGCCTCAACCTGCTGGGCTCCAGCAATCCTTCCACCTCAGCCTTCCAAGTAGTCAGAACTACAGGCACACGCTACCACGCCCGGCTAATTTTTGATTTATTGTAGAGACGAGGTCTCACCAAGTTGCCTAGGTGGGTCTCGAACCTACGGGCTCAGGCAATCCACTTGCCTCAGCCTCCTGAAGTGCTGGGATTACAGGCTGAACCACCAAGCCCGGCCCATTTATTAGTTTTTTTTTTCTTTTGAGTTGGAGTCTCACTCTGTCGCCCAGACTGGAGTGCAGTGGTCGCTCCCAGCCATGAAGCCTCGACCTGCTGGGCTCCGGCAATCCTTCTGCCTCAGACTTCCAAGTAGCTGGAACTACAGGCGCATGCTACCATGCCCAGCTCATTTTGGATTTATTTATTTTTATTTTTATTTTTTGAGTTGGAGTCTCACTCTGTCACCCAGACTGGAGTGCAGTGGCCGCTTCCAGCCACCACAGCCTCGACCTGCTGGACTCCGGCGATCCATCTGCCTCAGCCTTCCAAGCAGCTGGAACTACAGGCGCGCACTACCACGCCCGGCTAATTTTTGATTTATTATGGAGATGAGGTGTCGCCAAGTTGCCCAGACGGGTCTCAAACCCGCGGGCTCAGGCAATCCACTCAACTCAGCTTCCCAAAGGCGCGGGATTACAGGCTGAGCCACCGAGCCCAGCTCATTTTGGATTTAACGTAGAGACAAGGTCTCACCAAGTTGCCTGGGCTGGTCTCGAACCTGCGGGCTCAGGCAATCCACTAGCCTCGGCCTCCCAAAGTGCTGGGATTACAATCTGAGCCACTGAGCCTGTCCTGTGATTCTTACTTTTCCCTGCCATGTGTGAGAGTGAGTGTCTGTCTTCCCACGGCCAGTCCACTCTTAGACTCTGGCCAAAATATCCTGCTTTATAGAATTCTGCTGGTCCTTGGATCTAAGAAGTTTGTGAGGCCAAAGGGACATGCTCGCCTGGATCCCATTGTCCCCCATTCTAGCCCACATTGCGGGTGTACTGCACCCCGGACTGTCTTACCAGGTGTCTCCCAGCCCACTTCCAGGATCTGCAAGGGCCTCTTCTTCTCTAGGGCCAGGGTATAGGCTGAGAGACCACATGGGCATGTGAGGCTCCCCACTGTATGGTCTGGGGAGAGAAGGGGCATGGGCGTGGCCATCTTTCAGTGAGGAAGTATGAGGAGTGTGAGAATTCTCAACATGAGCCTGGGCTTCCCCATCATCATGAAGGAATGTTTGCCTAGGAAGAAGGCTAGCACACATGTGATTTGACAGGTTGTCAGCTTGGTTTCTGACTGTAAATATTTAGACAGCATGGCCTGTGGACCCCCATGTGCACGCTTGCCAGAGGCAACAGCCTTAGTGTCAGCGATGAGCCTGTCCACAGCTCAGTGTCAAATGTGAATTGTAGCCAGTTGTATAGTGGGAGATCATCTCTGAGGACACTTGTGATTGTACTACTCTCATCACAGATGAGGTTGAGTATCTTTTCCTCTATTTAAGAGTTTTTTATATTTTTTCTGTGATCATTGATCATTTTCTTCTTAATTTCTAGAAACTCTTTCTTTGTTAGGAAGATTGACTCTTTGTATATGTATTACGAATATTTTCCCTAATTTGTTATCTGTCTTTTAAATTTAGATACTTTTCCCCCCAGAACTTCTTTGTATATGATTAAATTTTATTTTATTTTATTTATTTTATTTATTTTGAGTTGGAGTCTCAGTCTGTTGCCCAGGTTGGAGTGTAGTGGCACACTCATGGCCACCCCAACCTCAGCCTGCTGGGCTCAGTCGATCCTTCCGCCTCAGCCTTCCAAGTAGCTGGAACTACAAACACGCGCTACCACACCCGGCTGATTTTTTTGATTTACTATAGAGATGAGGTCTCATCAAGTTGTCCAGGCAGGTCTTGAACTCCTGAGCTCAGGCAATCCTCTCACCTCGGCCTCCCAAAGTAATTGAATTAGACTTGAGCCACCACGCCTGGCTTCTTTTTTTTTTTTTTAGTTGGAGCCTCACTCTGTTGCCCAGGCTGGAGTGCAGTGGCACACTCACAGTCACTACAGCCTCAGCCTACTGGGCTCAGGTGATCCTTTTGCTTCAGCTTTACAAGTAGCTGGAACTACAGGCACATGCCACCGTGCCCAACTAATTTTTTGATTTATTGTAGTAACGAGGTCTCACTATGTTGCTCAGGTTGGTCTTGAACCTGCGGGCTCTGGCAATCCTCTCACCTCTGCCTCCCAAAGTGCTGGGATTACAGGTGTGAGCCACCATGCTCGGTCTTTTTTTTTTTTTTTTTTTTTGGTTTATTTGTAAGCTTTTTACTCTGAAGTTCTGGGAAAGGTGTTTCAGGTTGGTAGGGGCATGATCCTCAGAGACTCAGGCTGGTGATGACCTTGCCATCTTCAGCCTGTGGTTTCCAAGGCTACTGTCTATTCCAACCCTCGGTAAGGAGAGGAACACATGTGGAAGGTGTGGGGCCAGATCCGGAAGTGGCTTCTATGCCTGCCTTTGCATGCCGGCCTGCCAGCAGTAGGAGGTAGGAGCAGAGGTTGGCTTCTGTCTGTATCCCTGAGGGTAAAGCTGACAATGTTTGCTGATGGAGTGTGAGAAAATGGGAAGAGGCGTCAAGACTTTTGCTTCGCTGAGAACAGCATTGCCCTTGTCTGAGATGGAGACTGCGGAAGAGGTGGATCTGAGGGGTGGGGAACAGCAGTTTGGTTTTGGACACATTCAGTTTGAGATGCTATTAAACATCATTAAGTTTGCAGGTGGATATTTAAGCCTGGATTTCTGGGGAATGCTTTGGGCTGGAAAGTCAAATTGGGGAATTGTGAGCATAAAGTTGATATTTAAAACCACAAATCTGGTTGAGATCACCCAGGGAGAGAGTGTACGCGGTCTGACAATTAAGTTTGCAAACTCATTCGAGAAAAAGGACTACATACCTTCTTGCTGAATATCACTACAGTCACCTTCAAAGTAGTACTCCCCCTGGGAAGCTATGCACGGACGTCAGCACCTATTTCACCCATCAAAGCATTTTTAGAATTCTTTTTCTGGAATGGCCCGCAGAGCTGTCATCGTATTGCACTTAATGTTCTGAATATCACCAAAATGTCTTCCTTTCTTATTTATTTATTTATTTTTTTGAGTTGGAGTCTTACTCTGTCGCCCAGACTGGAGTGCAGTAGCATGTTCACGGCCACTATGGTCTTGACCTGCTGGGCTTAGGTGATCCTTCTGCCTCAGTCTTCCAAGTCGTTGGAACTACAGACACACGCCGCCACTAGTTTTTGTGATTTATTGTAGAGATGAGGTCTCACCAAGTTGCCCTGGCTGGTCTCGAACCCCTGGACTCAGGCAATCCTCCAAAGAAAATAGTCATTGGGGGCCAGATCAGGTGAGTAGGGAGGGTGTTCCAATACAGTCATTTGTTTACTGGCTAAAAACTCTCCCGAGACAGTGTTGTGTGAGCTGACGTGCTGAGTTGTGTTGTGACGCAAGAGCTCCTTCAGGACCATTTTTGCACACACCTTTCTCATGCCAAGGTTTTCAGTTAAGATTTCCTAACTGTTTCTCTGTCAATGTTTATTTGGTCTGCTGTGCTTCTCATAGTCAGCCGACAACTTTGACACACAATTTGATGAATTTTTGCAATGTTTTTGTCAGTTGTGCTCGTTACTGGCCGTCCTGACCTCTCATTATCAGTGACACTTTCTCTCCCCTCAGAAAAACATTTAATCCATTTGTATACTGCCATTTTCTTCATGGCATGATCCTCATACACTTGGTCTAACATGTGCCTTACTTCACTCCCACTCTTGCCAAGTTTCACAAGAAGATTAATATTTTTTTGTTGTTCTCATTCCAGCTCTGACATTCTCTCACTGACACACAAAAACACTCAGCAATGGTAATGAATGCCACTCAGCACTCGGTGCTGCACACTGACGTGAACACAGCTGTGAGACACGGATATCCCAAGGTTACGAAACCTTGCTGAGTCGCTGGTACAGTGCTGCCAACGTAAGCACACAGTGGCAAGTTCATGAACTTAATGGTCAGACTCTGTATTTAGAGAAGAGGTCTGAAGATGGAACCCTGGGCTGCTTTAAGTGTAGAGTTCATAGACATGAAGTGCCAGCCACAGAAAGTGAGTGGGAGTAGTCAGTGAGGAGAAAGGCAAATAAAGAGAAGGTAGGTGAAGAAAATCATTCAAAAAGGAGGGAGGAACCACCTAGGTCAAATGTAGTTCTTGGACCAAAAAAGGTGTAGACTGAGAAGTGACTATTGCTTTTGGTCTCAGAATTATGTCAGTGACTGTGATGACTAGCTCCCAGGAGTGACAGTTGGCACATTTTTCCCACTTTTATCCACCTGAAGGGCACCCTACCCACCTCCATTAAGAACAAGTGTGTGGGCCAAGCTCGGTGACTCAACCTATAATCCCAGCACTTTGGGAAGCCAAGGCAACCTATAATCCCAGCACTTTGGGATTTCCTGAGCCCGTGGGTTCAAGACCAGCCCGGGCAACTTGGTGAGACCTGGTCTCTACAATAAATAAAAAAAATTAGCCAGGCATGGTAGCATGAGCCTGTCGTTCTGGCTATGTGGAAGACTGAGGCGGAAAGATTGCTGGAGCCCAGCAGGTCGACCCTGGAGTGGCCGTGAGTGTGCCACTGCACTCCAGCCTGGGCGATGGAGTAAGACTCCAACTCAGAAAAAAAAAAAAAAGAACAAATGTGTGTAAGTGTGTATGAATGTGTACATGTGTGGATGTTTAGGATCAAAATTCTCTTCCTCCAGTTGCCAATGATTCTGCTATGTCTTCTGGGATCTGCTGCTCCCCAGGAAGAATCAACTTTACATCTCTTTGATTTCCTAGGCTGGTGTTAAAACCCAGTGAAAGAAAAAAGAAAATATTTGGGAAGTCAAAGTTCTGTAATCATGCCCCATGTTAATAGTTACTAATACAGGCTGGGTACGGCAGCTCAGCCTATAATCCCAGCACTTTGGGAAGCCGAGGCGAGAGGATTGCCTGATCCTGGGGGTTCAAGACCAACCTGGACAGCTTGGTGAGACCTTGTCTTCATAATAAATCAAAAAATAAGCCAGGTGTGGTGGCATGTGCCTGTAGTTTCAGCTACTTGGAAGGCTGAGGCAGAAGGATCACCTAAGCCCAGCAGATTGAGGTTGCAGTGGTCGTGAGCATGCCAACTCAAAAAAAAAAAAAAAGTTACTAATACAACGAATACCTGTGGCACTTTAGGAATCTACTGTGTGTCAGTGCCTGTTAAGCAATTTGTATGTTTTAGCTCCGATCTCACAGTAACCCCTTGAGTTGGATATTATTAGCCCAAGTTTATAGATGAACAGTCACATGGGGAGAAGTGGCTGAGCCATTATCATGTGTTTTTGTCATATGACTTCTGAAATTTCTAAAAGTTTCTGTCTGGAATGTCGTAGCTCTGTGTGTTATTTTTGTTTTTGCAGAAAGGGCCAAGTAAAACACCTGTAGCTGCCATCTGCCTGACCAGCTTTGTGACCATGGCCTTTGTCCTTGTGGGTCAGGTGAATGTTCTGGCCCCCATTGTCACCATCAACTTCATGCTGACGTATGTCGCCGTGGACTACTCTTACTTCTCCCTGTCCATGGATCCCTGCAGCACTCCCCAGATGCCTGAGCCAGAGCTCAGGGAAGACCTGGAAGGTTTCCACCGTCCTGAGCACCTGCCCTCGGAGAAAGCTCCCAGCTATGGCTCTGATGGCCCTGCCCAAAGTGTCTCTGAGGGCACTCTTCTGGAATTTACCAAGGACATGGATCAGCTCCTCCAGCTAACCAGGATGCTTGAGAGTAGCCAACCCAGACAAGGAGAAGGTAACAGGATCCCGGGGAGTCAGAAGAGGAAGAGCAAGAAGGC